GGGGGGGAAAGAGCGTAAAGCACATAAGACACAATCCAAGAGATACCCACTTCGCGCATGGCCCTACTCATTCAACCTCCAGATTTCTGAAAATCCAAGACGACATATAACAACATATGACAACATATAACTGAAAACCCAGTTTATAAGACTAATTTTTCGTTTGAAAGCTGGAATTAGAGAAAAGGTAAGCGACAAGAAGAAGAAGAAGAAGAAGAAGAAGAAAAGGGGCGAACCTGGTCTTTCCAGGACGATAGTAACACCAATTGTAGCGACCAGCGAATCGATCATCAATATTGTGGAAGAGATCTGAGTGAGGAAGAGAAGGGGGCAAGTGCCTAATCACTACTTTGGTCCGCTCCAACGGGTCCTTCATCTGAAAAACCCCCCGCACTGCCAAGAGAAATTCAGAATTTCTTTCTGCTTTTTGCTTCTAATTTCTCGACAATTTTTGCTCTGGAGGAGAAAATGTTTTCGGGAAATTTGGGAATTGGGGTTCGTAACGACGACGGGAGTTCGGAGAAGGAGAAAGGACCGAAAGGTCGGGAACTGATTTGGGCTCGTTAGGATATTCCAGGCCCAATGAAAACTTTGGGCCGGGTCGACGAACGGCCCAATTTCCAGTTGAAATTTGGTGCCTTTGTTTCCTTGAAAAGTGTGCTAGAAACACGCCGTACTTCCTAATATTTTGTCCATTGGATTTTACTCTTTTGCCCTTTGAATTTTCAGATTCTTTGTTTCATTTTTTAAGGTTTAGGGTAGGTTAGGTGTCACAGTCGCGGTTTATAGGCAGCGAATTTGGCGATTGTGCGACACTCGCTCTCAACACTAAATTAGTCAAGTCAACTTCAGATCACGTTGCCTACAGTTGGGCAACGTGTATACAAACCTCGAGTCCTAATTTCAAGAGAAAATTTTAGAAAGCGGGGAGAGAGGTTTTGGAAAACGAGTTTTGTGTTATATAGCATGCAAGCAAAAAGGCAACAACAACGACTTAAATAGTGTATAACTTTTCGGGTAGGGAGAATTTAACAACTAGTCGCATACCCCCTATAGTACATTTTGATGCATTTCATGTCTATCAGGTGTAGCCATAACTTCGTTGGAACGTCATACTCTTAAAGAAAACAAGAAAGAAATAATGCAGCATGAAAGCGGTAAAAAAAAAGCAGTAAAGTAGTACAAGGCAAGAGTTTCGGCGTGTCACGGGCATACGACCATGGGCGACATGCCTTGGACAATCATGACCATGACATTAGGGGTGTACACTGCTCGGTCAGGATGGATCGGAAAAATATTTTGAACAACTTGAAGTTTCGAGTTGGTTGGGTTGGTGACAAGTAACCCAAATAGAGTTCACAACCCCCAACCTTCTAATTTCGGGTCGAATTGTCTAGCTATCGTAAATTATTTTTAAAAAATACTACTTATCCACAATACATGTTATAGTAATAAATAAAATCTCATAAGGACCCATATCAACAAATTTCAGATCCTCGGAAGCTCCTTTCTCACTAATATCTTCATTCCTTTAGCACTCATATGTCTAAATTTATTGTGTCATAAACTTGAACTAGAAGCACTTTCGACAACAACAATCATGTTTATACACCTGTCATTGGTGTTTAAGGTTCTAAATTTTGTGTCACGTGCTACTACCATAGTACTTCATAATTTTTCATGAATTCTTTCTAAACTCAGTTGCATAACTCCTGATGTCCAATTGACCAATTGAGATCAAATTATTCTTGAGACTACGAATATATCTAACATCCTTCAATGACCACTAATTTTTCGCTAGAGTTGTATGCCGACATCTCCCTTCCCTTCAATCTCTAAGGTTTTTTGACATAAAGATACACTTTCTCGAAATTTTTAGTTTGAAATTTTAGAATAGTTTCTTACTTGGAGACGAGTGAAAAAGATGCCCCAGAATCTAGTCAACCGAGTTGTCCACACTAAGGACTAGAGCATCCCTAATATCTTTTGTTGAAATTACAAAATCATTATCATCTCGGATTTGTATTTTGGTTCTTCTTTGGTTTTTTGTCTAATACTAGTTGTTAGGATCGTACAACTCGCACACTCAATCTAGATGAAGAACATGAAGAACTAGACAGAGAAAATTACTATAAATTTAGTATATAAAGAATATAGAGGATACATCTTCAAAGCACTACCTGAGTGAATATATATATGGTTCAATTGCTATACATAGTCATTTACTATACATAACAATTTACTATACACGACCATTTACTGTACATAGCCATTGAGTAAATTATATGTAAACATAAGGCTCTATAACTTAACAAGTAACACCTTTGGCATGCATCAAGGTTATCAATCAACTCCAAGACTCATACCACTATTAGGTTACGTAGCTTGCTTATTTATAGCGTCAACGGTTAAACATAGTAAAGCTATATATAGTAAAAAGTGTAAAGCTATATATAGTAGATAATTATATATAGTAGATGGTTATCAAATAGTATGTATAGTAAAAAGATATATAATAGATAGTTATATATAATAGATAGTTATTGATAGTTATATATAATAGATAGCTATATCTGGTAAGGTTATATATAGTAAGCTGAACCATATATATACTCTCCGGCATAGCTTTGAAAAATGTATTTTTTTGTATTATCTGTATTCTCTCTTATTGTACATACGTGAAATCATCGATACAAACCCTTTAACTAGTATTCTCCTTACATTACAATCCTAACAACCACGACAAAAATAGACCGTTGAGTGTTGAAGAACAATATCACATTTAACTTTTTTTTTTTCTTTTTTTTTTTTGTAGTGGTCCTTAGTTCTTGAATTTAGTAATTTATATACATCTTTTTTTAAGCTATGATGGTGACATTTTGGTGTCACTCTCGAGTTGGGAGTGTAAATAATGATTATTTTTGTTCTCTAGAAAATGGCGACAACAACTAGACTATTTTAAAAATTGAAAAGGTCAACTTTAACTTAATTGGAAGCCTCACTTTCTATTAAAAATAAATAAATAATCCACAAAATTATATAAATAAAACATAATTTTTTTTTATCGTTGGCTTATAAATTCAAGGTGAAAACCCTATTCGGAAGTAAGAGAATCAATAATGGAGGAAACTCATCAACAAATCATACCGTCTTCCAGTATTGCTGGGGAAGTTGATGCCCTGCAAAGGACACCTCTCCACTTAGCTTCTGAAAATGGAACGATCAAGATTGTTCAAGCTTTGCTGGAGAAGAACACAAGCAGTTGCATGGTTCGTGATTTGAATGGGTTGATTCCTCTCCACCATGCAGTGATTAATGGAAGAATTGATATCATGCCACTGTTGATCAATGCGAGGCCACAATCTCTTTGGATGAAGCTTCACAATGGTCAAACTGTTCTTCATTTATGCGTAATGCACAACCACTTGGAAGCTCTTAAGTTGTTGATCACAATGATTGAAGATCAACAACATTATGGATTCCTCAACGAAGGCGATGAGAATGAAAATACGATTTTGGATTTGTCTATGATGTTAAGACGAATCGAGGTATGTTCTTATAATTGAATTGGTTGGTTGAAGAAAAACTAAGTTCTTATTTGATTATTAGATTATTTAAAAAAACTGAAAATTTTATTATTTAGGAGATTAAATATGTTGGATTTGACCTACTATTTAGATATGTCGAAACAAATACAAGAGACAAAGGAAAAACTTGAGGAGAGAGAGCTTTTGGAACAAACTAATCTTAAGCATTTAGCTTTTCAATTCTCTTTTGTTATTGTGTTGTTCTGAAAAAAAAAAAAAGCGTACTTCTCCTGAGTATTTATAGTGACTTGCTTCATAAACGTTCTCCTCAAGTTAAGAATCATTAACAAATTTTCCTAATTAAAGCACAAAGCTTGGTTCACAGCCACGGAACTTGGTCCACAATTTGGCAACTACTCCCAATTATTCTATAGTTGCTCCGTAAGTTAAGTAACTTATTCTACTAAGTCTACTAAAAATTCTCCTAAGGTTACTCCACAAGTGACTTGTTCTACAAGTCTATTAACAATTTTTGTAAAGTTACTATATAAGTTAGTAATTTGTTCAACTAGCACAAATTTATTAGCTCACAATCTCCTCCGTAAACTTGATTTTGTTTGAGATTCTTCACTCCCAGCATTTCCCGCATCTCTGCAAACTTAACCCTTGCTAGGGCCTTATTTAGAATATCTGCACTTCTCTCTCTATTGGATACGAAATCCAAAATGATTTGTCTCTTCTCAAAACACTCACGGATGACGTGGAAGCGAGTGTCAATGTGTTTGTTGCGTTCGTGAAATATCAGATTCTTCATGAGTGCAATTGTAGATTTATTGTCGATGTAGAGAGTTACTGACTTTAGTTCACTTCCAGTCACTTCTCTTAAAAAATTTCTCAACAATAATGCTTGGCACGACGCAACAGTTGTTGCCATGAACTTGGCCTCACAGGAAGATAATGACACAGTTTGCTGCTTCTGAGATTGCCAAGAGATCAAATTTCCTTTTAGATAAAATATCATTCCTGCAGTGCTTTTTCTATCGTCAATGTCTCCAGCTAAATCACTATCGGTAAAACTGACTAGTTTTTCAGGACCTCGCCCTCTTTGATACTTCATTCTGTAGTTTGTGGTTCCCTTCACATAATGGAGAATGTGCTTAACCGCTTGATGATGCATCATAGTGGGCTTTTCCATGTACCTACTCATTATTCCAACAACATATGAAAGATACGGATGAGTATGAGTCAAGTACCTTAGACTTCTGATGACACGCCTATACTCAGTGGAATTCACAAAGTTTCCTTCGACATCTTTCACAAGTTGTAACTTTGCTTCCATGGGATATTTAGTCGAGTGACACTCTGCTATCTTAAATTGTTGCAACAACTTTATAACATAGGTCAATTGCTTTAGCAGCATGATGCAATCTTTTCTTTGGTCCATTTCAATACCAAGGTAGTACGTGAGTAACCCGAGCTCAGTCTTCTCAAATTCTTTCATCATTTGCTCCTTAAACTCTTTGACCTCTTCCACACTTGTATCAGTGACTATCAGGTCAACAACATACACGCCAACTATGAGTATTTTCGTCCTATTGTTTCTTGTATACACTGCTTGTTCTTGCGAGAACTTCGTGAAGTTTAGACTATTTAAGCTCTTGTCCAGACGTATATTCCACGCCCTCGATGCTTACGGTAAATCATAGAGGACCTTTGACAACTTGTACACTTTTTGTTCTTCGGCTTTTATGATGAACCCTTCAGGCTGGGCAACATACACGTCTTCTTAGAGGTCACCATTTAAGAATGTTGATTTAACATCCAAGTGATTGACCTCTCACCCGTGTTGAGCTGCAAGGGCAAGAATCAACCTTACAGTGTCCAGTCTAGTCATAGGCGCGAAAACCTCCTCAAAATCAACTCCTTGTCGTTGCACGTATCCCTTCGCCACGAGTCTTGTTTTATGCTTGATGACATTTCATTCACTATTTTTCTTCAACTAAAACACCCACTTCAAGTCGATGGGCTTGTGTCTGGGCGATTAGTTAGTTAGTGCCCACATATTCTTCTCAATGGCTTCAAGCTCTTTTTGCATGACCTCCTGCCACATTATCTCAGTTGCTACCTCACAGTAGGTTGTCAGCTCCTCAGCCGCGAGCAACATTAACTCATCGGGATCCAATTCTTCTTCAAGTGTATCCGCATATATTTCAGCAAGAGAATGAAAATTCTTTGGTCCATCCTTTATTTTGGATCCTCCTATACTCTCGCCTGAGCTCTCTTGCTCTAGAGAGTTTATCACATCTTTCGGTGTCACTAGTGATGACATGTGTGGACTTGTTGGTGTTGCTATAGGAGCACTTTCTTGGTTCGTTGAGTCTCCCTCTTCTTCAAGACTAGTGAACTTTGTAACAGTCTGCTTGTTATCGCCAACACTGCACTAATTCCACTTCTTCTCTTCTTCGAATATGACATCTCTACTTTCATGAATTTTCTCATGTTGCGGATCATACAGCCTGTGTGCCTTGGTCCCATCCTCTACGTCAAAATGCACAATCTTTTGGTTTCTATCATCAAGTTTTTTGATATATGGTTTTGCCGTCTTAACATGTGATGTACAACCGAAGACTCTTAGTTACTCGAAGTGAGGTGTCTTGTCGAACCATGCTTTATAGGGGGTGTGAGTGTCCAACGCCTTTGTCGGTAAATGGTTTAGAAGATAAACCGTATGTCGTATTGCCTCGCCCCAAAAGATCGTCAGGACTTGCATGCTCTTGAGTAAGCTTCTTGTAGTGTTCAGTATTGTGCAGTTTCTTTGTTTGACCACAACGTTTTGTTGTAGAATGTACGATGCTGTGAGTTGACGCTTGATACCTTCCTCTTCGCAAAACTCTGAGATGTTCTTAGATGGGAACTCGCCATCACGATCGGTGCACAAGGTTTTCAACTTGTGATTAGTCTCATTTTCAACGAGTCTTTTGAACTTCTTGAACACACATAATGTCTCTCCTTTTTCTTTGAGCACACACCCACATCCACTCTCCTTTTTCTTTGAGCATGTAAACCCACATTCAACGACTATAATCGTCAACAAGTAAGAGAAAATACTTCTTACCAACAATCGATGATGAAGTGATTGGGCCACACAAATTTGCATGAACCAGTTGTAGGGGTCGCTCAGCACAGAAACTTGTTTGAGCTGGGAACGACAATCTTGTTTGTTTGGAGACTAGGAAACTTTCTCATAGCTTGTTCAGATGTATGATTTTGGTAGCCCCGTAGTTTTGAGCATCTGAAAGTTCACGTGCCCATGTCTTGCATGCAATAGACAAGTTGGGTCTGCAAATGTCGTTAATAGGGAGGTGGGTTGACTAGTCTCCAATGGTATCTTATACAGTCGGTTATGCAACTGTTTTACCTTCATCAACAAGGTTCCATTTTTGTCGAACATCTTGAGGAACAAGCCAGCTAACTCCACTCTGCTTTCTTCTTCCATCATCTGACCAAGACTGATAATGTTACTCTTCAAGTTTTGGGATATAGTATACCTTGGATGTAAATGTTGGTCGGCATTCTTGCACTGGAAAAAGATGGATCTTTTGCCTTGTATCGGTACAATTGATCCATCGCCAAACTTCACGATTCCAATGAGCTTCTCATCAAACTCCTTGAACTTTGTTCGATCTCCCTCATGTGGTTGCTTACTTCGTTGTCAAGGTACCACATGTTTGTCTCCACTCAATCTTCTCCTTTTGTGAGAAGGTTCACCATAATCTTTTCTTCGTTGAGCACCAACAAGTTGGGCATAGCCAACATTAGTGCTGGCTCTTGATCTTGCGTGAGTGTGAGGTTTGCCTCATCATCTTGCTTCTTCTTGCGACACTCTATTGCATAGTGTGCATATTTTCCACAAGAGTAACACTTGATCATACTCTTGTCCTTTTAGAGGTTGCCATTTGTTAGGAACCACGACTCTCCACAATGGTACAATATTGTTCACTTTGAGCAAAATCTCTCGTGGCTTTGTTTTGGGCTTCCTCAAAAGGTCTCGTACCAATGGAGATGTATTCCTTACTTATAAACCCATGATCATTCCCCAGATTAACCAATGTGGATTCCCTCCCAAAACCTCTCCTCGAACAAAGTACACCATAGAGCCTCCCCTAAGACTTATGGAGCCCTTGAACAACTTCTCTTAATTGAGGCTCGACTCCTTCTCTTGGAGCCCTCGAATAAAGTACACCCTTTGTTTGACACTTTAGTCACTTTTGACTACACATTCGAGGCTCACAATTCTTTGTTTGACATTTGAGGATTCTATCGACATGACTAAGTTTAGGGCATGTCTCTGATACCCTGTTAGGAACCATGACTCTCCATAATGTTACGATATTGTCCACTTTGAGCATAAGCTCTCATGGTTTTGCTTTAGGCTTCCCCAAAAGGCCTCATACCAAGGGAGACATGTTCCTTACTTATAAACCTATGATCATTCCCTAAATTAGCCAATGTGGGACTCCCTCCCAACAACATTGTCATGGGTTTGTGATGTATTGTCACGGCCTCCTTTGCCACAATGTCCACGACCATGTCCGCGCCCACGTCTATGACCTTTTTTTCCTTGTTATAGTTGCCACATCCCCTCCTACTTGAAAAAGAAGAGTCAGTCGCATCATTCTTTTTCATCCGTGCGAGCCACTACTCATGTATGAGTAAAAGGTATTTTTCTTCCTCTTTATCTTCATAGTCACGAATCTCTCCTCATGGACCTTAAGACGACCAACGACCTCCTCAATTGACATGTTATTGAGGTCGCCGAACTGCTCAATGGCGGTAAAAATTTTCTTGAATCTTGGGGGAATAACTCGAAGGAATTTCTTGACGACAGAGATCTCCTCCACCATGTCGCCTAATGAACGGATGCTGCTGACAATCATTGTCAACTTCATGGAAAAGTCATCTATTGACTCACCATCCTTCATGTGTTTAGCCTCAAACTCACTCTTTAAGGTTTGCGTCTTTGCTTCCTTGACACGTTCCAAGCCCACATGCATTGTTTGCAACGTCTCCCACGCTACCTTTGTCGAGTTCTTCTCTGCCAACAAGAGTCATCCTGTCTTTATGCTCCTCAACATCACCATGCTCGATGACGTTCCACATGCCTTGTGCATGTAAGTTGACATACATCTAGATCGACTATGCTACGTAGTTACTCTTTGTGAGTAACGGGTACTGGAGTGTTACATTCCCCTCCTTTTCTCTCTTTATCGTTGTCACTTCTTCTCCAATGACTTTCTATATTGACAAAAATTTTTTGGCATCCTTGTTTTGATACCAAATGTTGGATTTAACTCACAATTGAGATATGTTGAAACAAGTAAAAGAGGTTAAGGAAAAACTTGAGGTGAGAGAGCTTTTTAGAACAAAGTAATATGAAGCATTTAGCTTTTCAATTCTCTATTGTTTTGTGTTGTTGTGAAAAAAACATACTTCTCATGAGTATTATTTACAGGGGAGAGCTTCCTAAACTTTCTCCTCAAGTTAAGAGCCTTAACAATTCTTACTAATTAAAGCACAAAGCTTGGTCCACAACCACAAAACTTGTCCACAATCCAGCAACTACTACCAATTCTCTTAGAGTTGCTTTCATACGTTAGTAACTTATTCTACTAAGTCTACAAACAATTCTCCTAAGGTTACTCCATAAGTTACTAGCTTGTTGTACTAATTCTACTAACAATTCCCCTAAAGTTACTATATAAATTATTAACTTGTTCAACTAGCTCAGGTTTATTAACTTACAAAATAGGTATCGAAAAGTTCTATTATGATATAAACAAATTGAATTCAAATTGTGCAGATTGTACAATATTTATTGTCTATCAAGGGAATAAAAACGAGAACAAACACTACAAACAACTATGCTGCATCAAATGAGAATGGATCGCCAACCAGAATTGAAGAACCATGTTATGATGGGTTATCGACATCACCACCGCCCAAAAACTTAATGACAAGTTCATTGAAGTCGAAACTTGAATACAAAGGTGATTGGTTTCAAGAAGTGCATGGTACAATGATGTTGGTGGCAACGGTTATTGCAACAGTGGCTTTTCAAGGTGCAATCAACCCTCCCGGCGGTGTTTGGCAAGAAGATATTCCTTATAACTCCAATAGCACTATTCATCGTTCATTTCATAGTAGCAATACTTTGAAAACTTTCATGGCAGGAACTGCCATAATGGCCTACCCAGCTTCATGCCAAGGAAATTATTACACAGCTTACTTGATTACGAATTCTGTCTCATTCTTTGCATCAGTATGCGTGATTATGTTCATAATAGGTCGATTGCCTTTGAAAAATAGGATTTGTGCGTGGTTATTAACAGTAACCATGTGCATTGCCATTGCATCCTTATCACATAGTTATTTATTGGGAGTTTGGCTCCTAAATGCCTCATTTAGGAATTCTTATGCTCCAAGAGTAACATTTGTAACAGCATGGCACATCTTGTTAGCAATGTTGGGAGTGGTTTGTCTTTGTTGTATTGTTATTCCTTTAGTTACTTTGGTGGTGAAGCTTCTCGCTTGGTCCGTAAAAAAAGTCAAATCTTTGACTTTGAGAGAGACACGATGGCCTCAACCACAACTCAGATAAAGATCGAGGGCTACACAAAACCTAGGTTATATTGTGTGTTTCATCTTGTATTTGGATATGTTTTATTTGTGGTGGTGTGTATTCATAATAAGGAAAACATATTTTGTGTATGTTATTTTATTTAAATGTTTGTGGAGTAAAATAACGAGAAGTGTTGGAGAACAAGTAAAAATAAAAATGAAATACCAAATAGAAATGAAATACCCCAAAGTGAACGAAATATCAACAGTTTTGGTTTCCTTTGCTGTTCATTTTCTAAAGTTCTTAACAAAACTGGTTTTTGCCCACATGTTGGTAGGGTTAAATAAAGAAATTAAAAAAAGAAAAGAGTTCGGACCTTATACAGTAAATAATCGTGAATTACGCATAATATGTTAGAAAGCTTGGAAAAAAGGTAAACCATAGAAATTACGCATGATATTAGAAGTCACGACCTGATTTTTTAGACGTCGAATAATATATCTTGACAAAAAAGACAGACATCAAGCGTTCGATATTCAAGCCTATCTGATTTTCAACTTCAGCTTACCACATCTTGAAGGTGGCCAACACATCTGACTTGTGTTTCAGGAAATAAACTCATACCTTCCTGCTGAAATCATCGATGAAGGTGACGTATAACTTTGATTCACGAAGTGATGAAACTGGAGATGGTTCCCAAACGTTTGTATAGACTATTTCGAATCGTACTTTCTTTGGTTCTCTAGCAACCTTTGTGAAGCTAACTCGTTTTTGTTTGTCCATAACGAAGCTCTTATAAAGACCCGTATGAACAAATTTTAGGTCCTCTAAAACTTCTTTTATAGTCAACATCTTCATTCCTTTGACGCTCATATGTCCAAGTCTATTGTGTCATAGACTTGAGTTGAAAGCACTCTCAACAACAGCAACCATGTTTATACACCTTGCATGGTGTATAGGGTTCCATATTTTATGTAACGTGCTACCACCATGGCACCCTTCATAATCTTCCATGAATTGTTTCCAAACTTGGTTGCATAACCTGTGCTATTCAACTGACCAATAGAGATCATGTTCTTCTTTAGACCACGAATATATCTGACATTCCTTAATGTCCACTAATTTCCTGCTGAAGTTTGTATGCTTTCATCTCATTTTCCTTCAATCACCAAATCTTTGTTGTCGACAAGATACACCTCAAAATTTCAAGACTTGAAATTTCAAAACAGCTATTTATTTGGAGACGAATTAAAAGATGCGCCTGAATCCAAAATCTAGGATTCAATTGGCCTATTCACGCTAAGGATTAGAGCATTTTCAATATCTTCCGCTGAATTTATAGAATTATTATCATCCTTCGATTTGTGATTCTGCTTCCTCTTTGGTATTGTAAAATTTGTCCGAAAGTGATTTTTTTCTCCACAACTCCAACACGCCACATTTGGTCTGTTTGGAAAATTTTCACGGTTCTTTGATTTTGATCGATATTTTTTTGGGCCCTTCGATCTACTTCTTCCCTTTTGGTCAAAGTCTGAGAGCACTACGAGAAGAATCCTCAATTTCTCGTTTGCAAATACTTTCGTTGAGAACTACATCTCGAATTTCATCGAACTTCAGTTTCTCAGATCCTCAAGAACTGTTAGTCGCGGTAACAACAGTATCCCATGACTCGGGTAAAGATGACATCAAAATCAGTGCTTTAATTTCATCCTCGAAATTAATTTCCATCAAACTCAATTCACTTACAGTCATGTTGAACTCATTTATATGATCAGCAACCGATCCACCTTCAGACATTTATGAAAGCACTACCGAAGAGTTATATATGGTTTCAGTTTACAATATATAACTTTAACAGTATAACTACCTATTATATATAAAAATATTTATCTCTGTCATATTTTTATTATAAATAGTCAACAGAGTCTATAACCCAACATTATCACATCACTTTTTGTTTTTAATTATAACGAAAATGTTGACGAAAGAACTATTTTGAAACAAATTTAAAGGTAAAAATGAAACTGTTCTACAAAAATCTATCTCTAAATTTAACAAGTGTAGTATAATTTAACTTAATCATAAGCACGAGAGGTATTATCCTTACCGATGAGAAACAATAGCTTCCCAATAAAATTAAGTAAAATAAATAATGATATATACATCTATCCATATTTCAACAAAGAAGTTTCCTTCGGTTTGCTTCCCATCCACTTAAACTAGGATGGTGACACTTTGGTGTCCCTCTCGAACAAAAGTACAAATAATAATTTTTGTTTTCTAAGAAATGAGGGCAATAATTGGACTATTTTAAAAATTCAAAAGGTAACTTTAACTTAGTTGGAAGCCTCACCATCTATTAAAAATAAATAACTAAATAATCAACAAAATCTTATAAATTCTATGTGAAAACCCCATTTGGGAGTAAGTTAAAGAATCAATAATGGAGGCAAATGGAGAAAATAACGAACTTAAATTAGCCATTTCCTCTATTGAAGAAAGCAAAAGAAAGCTCTATGAAGCATCAGACATTGGGTCCATTCAAAGCTTGAAGACACTAATTTGAGTCGACCCAAATATCGTTCAAAGAGTTCTAATCTCTTCATCCAATGTTGAGAGTCCATTGCATGTCTCAGTTTTGTATCGCCACCTTGAATTCACTCGATTTCTTTTAGATCTCAATCCTGAACTTAATGGGGAAGTTGATGTCATGTAAAGGACACCTCTACACTTGGCTTCAGAAAATGGAACGGTCGAGATTGTTCAAGCTTTGCTAGAGAAGAACACAAGCACTTGCATGGTTCGTGATTTGAATGGGTTGATTCCTCTCCACCATGCAATGATTAATGAGCGAATTGATATCATTCAACTGTTAATCAATGGGAGGCCACAATCTCTTTGGATGAAGCTTCACAATGGTCAAAATGTTCTTCATTTATGCATAAAACACAACCATTTGGAAGCTCTTAAGTTGTTGATCACAACAATTGAAGATCTACAAGATTATGGATTCCTCAACAAAGGCGATGAGAATGAAAATACCATTTTGGATTTTTCTATGATGTTAAGACGAATTGAGGTATGCTATTATAATTGAATTGGTTGGTTGAAGAAAAATTTTTTCTATGATGTTAAGACGAATTGAGGTATGTTATTATAATTGAATTGGTTGGTTGAAGAAAAACTAAGTTCCTATATGATTATTTTATGAAACTGAAAATTATTATCTGGAGCTCAAATAGGTCTTTCTCCTAAAAATTCTCACCTCGAACGAAGTACAGTATAAAGCTTCTCTTAAGGCCTATGAAGCCCTCGAACAACCTCCCCTTAATCGAGGCTCGACTCCTTCTTTAGAGTCCTCGAACAAACTACATCATTGGTCAAGCTCCAATGGCTTTGCTTTGTGCTTCCACAAAAGGCCTCATACCAATGGAGATATATTCCTTACTTATAAACCCTCGATCATTCCCTAAATTAGCCAACGTGGAACTCCTTCCCAGCAATCTTCAACACTATCATGATATAAACAAAATTGAATTCAAATTGTGCAAATAGTACAATATTTATTATCTATCCCGAGAAAAAAATGGGAACAAACACTGCGAACAACTGTGTTGCCTCAAATTGTGCAAGAAGTTTGTGGACGAAAAACCTTGAATACAAAGGTGATTGGCTTCAAGAAGTGCAAGATACAATGATGTTGGTAGCAACGGGTGATTGCAACGGTGGCTTTTCAAGGTGCAATTATTAAGAGATGATATTTTGGAGATATATTTTAATAATTAGTTAGAATATATCTAAGATATTTAGGGAGTTGTTAGTATAGATTTGATTAACCGTATATTTTATTTATTTACGAGATTTAGTTAGTTATATTTTTTTCTTCTATTTTTAGGTATTAGTTGATAGTTTGTCTCCTATTTAAACGTGGTAAACCTGAATGAGATCATACTTTCGATCCCAATTCTATTTCTATTTCCCAGGAAGTTCAATAATAACCCATTCTGCCTTTGATATGATACATTGTGATGTTTGGGAACCACATAAAATTCCTACCCATTCTGGTTTGCGTTTTTTTCTCACTATTGTTGATGATTTTACTCGATGTACTTGAGTTTTTCTAATGCAACATAAGTCAGAAGTACATCATTTGTTAATGAACTTTGTTAAATTCATTCAAACTTAATTTCATACTACTATCAAGATAGTTCTATCATGACAATGGGACTGAGTTCCTATCTTTGCAACCATTCTTTACTTCTTGTGGCATTGAATTTCAGCGCACTTGTGTCTATACTCCACAACAAAATGGAGTCGTAGAACGTAAGCATCGCCATATCCTAAATGTGTTAGGTTATGGAGTCTGCTCCTTGTATTTATAGCTTGGTCAACAGCTATATCCGGTAAAGCTATATTTGGTAAAGCCATATTTGGTAAAGCCATATATGGTAAAGCTATATCCGGTAAAGCTATATATGGTAAATAGCTATATATAGTAGATGGTTAAATCTGGTAAAGCTATATATAGTAGACTGAACCATATATATAGCCCGTCAGTAGAGCTTTGAAAATATACTTTCTATTCTCTGTAATTCTCTCTGTACCAACGTGAAGTCATCAATACAAAAAAAAAAAAAATCCTTTTAGCCAGAGTTCTCCTTACAATTTTCTCTATCCTGTTCTTTGTTTTCATCTAGATCGAGCGTGTGCGTTGTTGTGCGATCCTAACAACTGGTATCAGAGCTAGGCGAAATTCACCACGATCTGTGAAGATGGAAAGTTCAAAGATTGAAATTGAGAAGTTCGATGGATCCAATTTCGGTTTCTAGAAGATGCAGATTGAAGATTATCTGTACGAGAAAGATCTTCACGAACCTCTGTTGGGGGTGAAGCCGGATACCATGACCACAGAGCAGTGGAAGCTCAGGGATTGACAAGCCTTGGGGCTGATCCGGTTGACGCTATCCAGAAACGTGGCGTTCAATATTATCAAGGAGAAGACAACGTTAGATCTATTTATGGCGCTGTCAAATATGTATGAAAAACCATCGGCTATGAACAAGGTGTATTTGATGCGGAGATTGTTCAATCTACAAATGTCTGAAGGTGAATCTATTGTTGATCATATAAATAAATTCAATATGATCATAAGTCAACTGAGTTCGGTGGAAATTAATTTCGAAGATGAAATTAAAGCGTTGATTTTGATGTCATCCTTACCCGAGTCATGAGATACTGTTGTTGTCGCAATCAGTAGTTCCCGAGGATTTGATAAACTGAAGTTTGGTGAAATTCGAGATGTAGTTCTCAGCGAAAGTATTCGCAAACGAGGAACTGGAGATTCATCAGGCAATGCTCTCAGTGTTGATCGAAGGGGAAGAAGTAAATCAAAAAGCTCAAACAAACATGGGCGATCAAAATCAAAGAACTGGGGAAAATCTCTAAACAAACCCAACGTAACGTGTTGGAGCTGTGGGGGAAGAGGACACTTTCAAACAGATTGTACAAAACTGAACAAGAAGCAGAATCATAAATCTGAAGATGATGATGATTCTATATATACAACAGAAGATACTGAGGACGCTTTAATCCTTAGTGTGGACAGCCCAGCTAATTCCTGGATTTTGGATTCAGGTGCATCGTTCCATTCGTCTCCAAGTAAGGAATTGTTTCGAAATTTCAAATCAGGAAATTTCGGGAAGGTGTATCTTGCCGACAACAAAACTCTGGAGATTGAAGGGAAGGGAGATGTCTCCATACAAACTCGAGCAGGAAATCAGTGGACATTACAAGATGTCAGATACATTCCTGGTCTCAAGAAGAACCTGATCTCTATTGGTCAGTTGGATAACACAGGCTATACAGCAGAGTTTGGAAAGAGTTCATGGAAGATTGTGAAGGGCGCTATGGTTGTTGCACGTGGCACAAAATCCGGAACCTTATACACTACTGCAGAGTGTATAAACATGATTGTTGCTGCTGAGAGTGCTTCCAATTCAAGTCTATGGCACAATAGACTTGGGCATATGAGCGTCAAAGGAATGAAGATGCTGACTGCGAAAGGAGCTTTAGAAGACTTAAAATCTGTTGATATGGGCCTTTGTGAGAGCTGTGTTATGGAAAAACAGAAATGAGTTAGTTTCACAAAGGCTGCCAAAGAACCGAAGAAAGTACGGTTGGAAATGGTCCATACAGACGTCTGGGGACCATCTCCAGTTTTATCATTTGGTGGATCAAGGTACTACGTCACCTTCATCGATGACTTCAGCAAGAAGGTATGGGTTTACTTTCTGAAACACAAGTTAGATGTGTTCACAACCTTCAAGAAGTGGAAAGCTGAAGTTGAAAATCAGACCATCTTGAAGATCAAATGCATGAGGTCTGACAATGGAGGAGAGTACAACAAATCAGAGTTTATAACATTTTGTGCAGCTGAGGGAATTAGATTAATAAGAACAATTCTCGGTAAGGCAAGACAAAATGGTATTGTAGAAAGAATGAACAGAACATTGAATGAGCGAGCAAGAAGTATGAAGATTCATTCTGGACTGCCAAAGACATTCTGGGCTGATGCTGTGAACACAGCAGCATATTTGATTAATAGAGGGTCGTCAGTACCCTTGAAGTTCAAATTGCCCGAAGAAGTATGGACAGGAAAAGAACTCAAGTACTCTCACTTGAGAACCTTTGGTTGTACTGCGTATGTTCATGTTGATCCAGAGAAGAGAGAGAAGCTTGATGCTAAGGCTGTGAAATGCTACTTCATCGGCTATGGCTCTGACATGTTCGAGTACAGGTTTTGGGATGAGACAAATATGAAAATCGTAAGATACTGTGATGTGATCTTTGATGAAAATGTCATGTACAAGGACAGAGAGAAGATAAACTCTGAGACTACGAAGCAAGTGGGAGTTGAACTTGAGTGGCAGGAAAATTCACGTAGTGATGGTACAATAGAAGCCCAAGAAACTCCTGATCCTATTGCTGAAGAACCAGACGTGGAGCAAGTTGCACCTGAGCAGGTGTTGAGAAGATCATCCAGAACTACCAGAGCACTAGATAGATATTCAGCCTCATTACATTATCTGTTGCTGACTGACGAAGAAGAACCAGAGTCCTTTGATGAGGCTCTACAAGTGGAAGATTCAACCAAGTGGTAGCAAGCCATGGATGATGAGATGAACTCACTTGAAAAGAATAATATGTGGGTGCTGACTGAGTTGCCTACAGGAAAGAGAGCTCTGTTGAACAAATGGGTGTTCAGAATCAAAGTTGAACCCGATGGCAGAAGGAGGTTTAAGGCCAGGTTAGTAGTTAAAGGATATTCACAAAGAAAAGGCATTGATTATGCCGAGATCTTTTCTCCAGTGGTGAAATTAATTACTATCCGAATTCTGCTGAGTATTGTTGCATCGGAGAATTTGCACCTTGAGCAAATGGATGTAAAAACGGCGTTTTTACATCGAGATCTAGATGAGGAGATCTATATGCAACAACCAGAAGGGTTTGCAGCTCCAGGCAAGGAGCACATAGTGTGTAAGCTCAATAAGAGCTTGTATGGACTGAAACAAGCACCGAGACAATGGTACAAGAAGTTTGACTCCTTCATGAGCAAGAGTGGTTTCCACTAGAGTGAAAAGGATAAGTGTTGCTACCTCAAGAATTACACTGATTCTTATGTGTTTCTACTCCTATATGTGGATGATATACTAATTGCTGGATCAAGTATGAGGGAGATAAACCACTTGAAGGCAAGTTTGTCTTCAGTATTTGAGATGAAAGATTTAGGTGCAGCGAAGCAGATCCTTGGGATGAGGATTTCTCGAGATAGATCTGCTGGCACATTAAATCTATCCCAAGAGCAGTACATTGAGAAGGTGTTGTCCAAATTCAAGATGAATAATGCTAAACCCAGGATAGTTGAGGAACGTGAGCACATGGCATCAGTTCCGTACGCTTCTGCAGTTGGGAGTTTGATGTATGCTATGGTCTGCAATAGACCTGACATAACACATGTAGTGGGAGTTGTTAGCAAGTACATGGCAAATCTAGGGAAGGAACATTGGGAAGCTGTGAAGTGGCTTCTGAGATATCTGAGAGCTACATCCAATACTTCACTTTGTTATGACAATGGCAAAGTAGTTCTGTAAGGTTTTGTGAATGCTGATCTGAGTGGAGATGTAGACTCCAGCAAGAGCACATCTGGATATATCTACACTATAGATGGAACAGCAGTGAGTTGGATGTCCAAGCTTCAGAAATGCGTTGCTCTTTCATCTACTGAAGCTGAGTACGTGGCCATAGCTGAAGCTGGAAAGGAGATGATATAGATGACAGACTATCTAGAAGAATTAGGCTGGAAGTAGTGCAAGAAGATCCTTTATACAGATAGTCAGAGTGCCATACAGTTGGTGAAAAACCCAGTCTATCATTCAAGGACAAAACACATTAGAAGATGGTACCATTTCACTTGCAAGTTAGTGGAAGAAGGCGATATGTGTTTGGAGAAGATAGAGGGTGCAAAGAATCCAGCCGACATGTTGACAAAATGTGTTGATGTTGGAAAATTAAGGTTATGCAAAGCCCTAATTGGTATGGTGTAGAATCAGTCTCCAAGTGGGAGAATTGTTAGGTTATGGAGTCTGCTCCGTATATTTATAGCTTGGTCAACGGCTATATCCGATAAAGCTATATTTGGTAAAGCCATATTTGGTAAAGCCATATATGGTAAAGCTATATCCGGTAAATCTATATGGTAAATAGCTATATATAGTAGATGGTTAAATCTGTTAAAGCTATATATAGTAGACTGAACCATATATATAGCCCGTCCAGTAGAGCTTTGAAAATATACTTTCTATTCTCTGTAATTCTCTCTGTACATACGTGAAGTCATCAATACAAAAAAAAAAATCCTTTTAGCCTGAGTTCTCCTTGCAATTTTCTCTATCCTGTTCTTTGTTTTCATCTAGATCGAGCGTGTGCGTTGTTGTGCGATCCTAACAAAATGTAGCTAGGTCTCTTCTTTTTCAGTCACAAGTTCCACTTAATTTTTGGGGAGAGTGCATTTTAACGGCTGTTTATCTTATAAATAGAACGACATCACCATTGTTATCTAACACGACACCCTTTGAAGCACTCTACAAACGACCACCTACATTTCATCATCTTAAAGTTTTTGGTTGTAAATGTTATGCAACTATAGTACATCCTAAGCAAAAATTTGAACCTCGGGCAATTCCTTGTGTTTTCGTAGGATATCCTTGTGGTCATAAAGGTTACAAGTTGTATGACATGCAATCTCACAAATTCTTTATCAGCCGTGATGTTAAATTTTGTGAAGATGATTTTTCTTTTTCATCAGCTTCACAAACTTCGACATTAGCTCCTTCGACTCCTGTTGTACCACTTCTTGATCCATCCTACTCAAACATCCATCCTCCACTTTCTATTCCTTCACCTCCTATCCCTTCATCTACTACTTCGTCGCCTCCTCCACCTTCTTCAGATTCGCCCACTAATTCCAATCCTATCCCACCTGATACATCAGCTCCACTCCGACGTTTTACTCGTACTAAACAGCCTCCAGCTTGGCATAAGGATTTTGAGATGTCTTCTGGAGCCAATCATTTAACCTCTAGCTCAAGTCCCAGCATTGGCACCAGGTATCCCCTTCATCATTACCTTTCATTCTCTCGTTTTTCTCCTACTTAACGTGCTTTTCTAGCTCTTATTACATCCCAGATAGAACCTAAAACCTATGACGAGGCAGTTGGCGACCCGTTATGGCAGCAGGCTATGAATGATGAAATTCCAGCTTTGGAACGTAATCATACATGGTCTCTCGTTCCTCTACCACCTGGTCATAAAGCTATTGGTTGTCGTTGGATGTACAAAATTAAATACAACTCTGATGGTTCTGTTGAACGTTATAAAACTCGACTTGTAGCAAAGGGATACACTCAGGTTGAAGGTATTGATTACATAGAAACATTTTCCCCTACAGCGAAACTTACTACACTTCGTTGCTTACTCACTGTTGCTGCTGCTCGAAAATGGTTCACCCATTAGTTGAATGTTCAAAATGCCTTTCTCCATGGTAACCTAGACGAGGAAGTTTATATGTCTTTACCACCAGGTCTTCGCCGACAGGGGGAGAATATAGTATGTCGGCTCCATAAATCTCTTTATGGATTAAAACAGGCTTCTCGCAATTGGTTCTCCACATTTTCTACAACTATACAAAATGCAGGCTACACTCAGTCCAAAGCAAATTACTCTTTGTTTACTAAGAGTAAAGGTACTTCTTTCACTGCAGTTCTAATCTATGTTGATGATATTTTGTTGACAGGCAATGATCTCAAAGAATTCAATATCTCAAGACTAGTTTACTCTAGAAATTTCTTATCAAAGATTTAGGAAATTTGAAATATTTTCTAGGCATTGAATTTTCTCGGTCTAGAAAAGAAATTTTTATGTCTCAAAGGAAGTATGCTCTAGACATCCTTCAAGACACAGGTCTTACAGGAGCACATCCAGACAAATTTCCTATGGAGCAAAATCTGAAACTTTCTTTAACTGAAGGAGAGAAGTTGAACGATCCAAGTAAATACAGACGGTTGATTAACAGATTAATATATTTGACCGTCACTAGGCCTGCCATAGCTTATTCAGTTCGTATGCTTAGCCAATTTATGCATGAACCAAGAAAACCACATTGGGAGGCAGCTCTTCGAGTTCTGAGGTACATCAAAGGCACTCCTGGTCAAGAACTCCTACTGCCATTTGAAAACAATTTAAGATTACAAGCATATTGCAATTCTGACTGGGGTGGTTGTCGAACTTCTAGATGGTCTATTTCTGGGTTTTGCATTTTCCCCGGAAATTCAATTATTTCTTGGAAGTCTAAAAAGCAGACTAATGTGTCCAGATCATCAGCAGAAGCCGAGTATCGAGCTATGGGAAATACTTGTTTAGAGTTAACTTGGTTAAGATACATTCTTCAAGACTTGAATGTTCCACTGTCCGAATTAGCATTATTATATTGTGATAATCAAGCAGCATTACATATAGCAGCCAATCCAGTTTTTCACGAACGTACGAAACACATTGAAATAGATTGTCATATAGTTCGAGAAAAGTTACAAGCTGGAATCATCAAACCGTGTGATGTTTCGACTAAAATGCAATTGGCAGATGTTTTTACTAAAGCTTTGGTAAGACATCAGTTTGACTTTTTGAAGGACAAGTTGGGTGTGATCGACATACACTCTCCAACTTGAGGGGGAGTATTAAGAGATATATTTTGGAGATATATTTTAATAATTAGTTAGAATATATCTGAGATATTTAGGGAGTTGTTAGTATAGATTTAATTAACCGTATATTTTATTTATTTACAAGATTTAGTTAGTTATATTTTTTTCTTTTTTTAGGTATTAGTTGATAGTTTGTCTCCTAACGTGGTAAACCTGAATCAAGATCATACTTTCGATTTCTCATTCTTAATAGCAATCAACCCTCCTGGCAGTGTTTGGCAACAAGACATTCCTTTCAACTCCAATATCACTATTCATTGTTCGTTTCATAGTAGCAATACTTTGAAAACATTCATAGCAGAAACTGCAGTAATGGCCTACCCAACTTTAGACCAAAGAACTTGTTACACTGGTTACTTGATTACAAATTCTATCTCATTCTTTGCATCAATATGTGTGATTATGTTCATCATAGGTCGATTGCCTTTGAAAAATAGGATTTGTGCATGGATGTTAACAGTAACTATGTGCATTGCCATTACATCCTTATCACAAAGCTACTTGCTGAGTTTGGCTGATAAATGTCTCATATAGGAATTTTTATACTTTAGAATTAACCTTTACAATAGTATGGTACATTTTGCTGGCAACCGTGGGAGTGATTTTTGTTTGTTGTATTATAATTCCCTTCCTTTTTTTGGGGTGAAGCTTCTGGTTTGGACAGTAGAAAAGTTAAATCTTTTATTTTGAAAGGGTTAAAAGGGTAAATATTTTGAATATGGATTATTTGTGGTGGTTTGTGTATTTACAATTCGGAAAATACCTTGTATATGTTATCTTATTCAAATGTTTGTGTCCTAGAAAATAACCAGAAGTCTTGAGAGAAAGAAAAACAGAGAAAATACACCCAAGTGAATGAAATATCCAATAATTTTGTGTTTCCTAATTTTGTGTTCCTTGGTTGTACATTGTATCACACTCTAGCCCCAACTATGATTAACTCTCCTCCTTTTCTTTTAAAATTTTATATTGTGGAATTTTATTGAGAGTCGTAGAGACGGGAGTTCAAGATGAGGTAAAGAAACAAAATTTTAGAAAAATCACAAGAATTTATGTAATGATCGTAGTTTTCAGCTATCTAAGATCGCTACTATCATCTTAATCTAAAAGCTCATGTGCAGAATATAACTCTTAAAACATCATTGTTTAAATAATAAACTTTCAACATAAACATACTTCATAGTCGAAAAAACCGCTATGGTCTTACGTGTTCGAAAAGTAATTTAGAAGTGGAATTGAAAATGATAATGAAATAAATTTAAAACATGAAATGCATAACAAAAGATTAGAGTATCCCTAATATCTTCGACTAAATTCTCAAAATTATTATCATCTTCAAATTTGTCATTATGTTTCTTTGATTTTTCAATGGATACTAGTGGTTAGAATCAACAACTTGCACACTCGATCTAGATGAATAACACGAAAAACAAGAGAGAAAATGAAAAGAAAAATATATGTGGCAAAATTGAGATGGTAACTCCACGACCACTAGAAGTTTATATTGATTACTTCTAATATGATCAATTACAGGGAGTACAAAAATTTCAATAATTACAATTTAAGAAATACCAAAAAAGAATATATATGGTTTAGTTTACTATATATGTGAATATTTACTCTACGTAGTTATTTAGTTATTTACGGTAAAGATCACAAAAAAAAAAAAATACTCGGTTGCCAGAAAAGGCAGGAGAATTCCAGTGAGGCGTCGGAATTCTCACACCCTCCATGTACACGATTTCCCCTGATGCCCACAACACGTCAAAACCTTCACTCGCTCCTCACATATTAACCTGCAAGAGAGAAAAGAATGGCTACCTGCACATGTG